CAAGGAATGCTCGATTTGAACGGCGGGTGTACTCGAACAACGTTTTTGGGGGATGAAGAGGATAATGGGACAGCGGAGGAAGGATAGCAGTGAATATGATAACATTCGGATGTCAGTAGGTTAAGAAAATAAATACCATTGTGGCCTATTGGAGTACCCATGCAAGTTAACCGGATGTAAGGTATCGACTGAGCAGGTGGCCCATCTGGGGTGGTGGTACAAGTTGCGTCGTCCAAAAATGGCAAAGTCCAAAACTCAACCCCGACCACTCCACCGCCCAACTCACAAAGCCTCCGCAAAGGTTCTCCCGTCCTCTATGACTTCACATAAGTTATTTCCTTCAAATATTACTTTGAATATCACTGTCTGTGTACTATGGATGCTGCCGCTGACTCTACACACCCCCGCGGTGGCACACTTTGGGCCAATACGCCTGCTACCCCATCCCAAGCAAGCGAAAGATAAACAGGTATTTACCATATTCTGCTGCTCTTCTTTAGTGATATCTGCTAATCTCTCGTTCTCCATTGCTAGGCCACAGAGGAATCCGCTATAGAGCAGGTATGTGACTTAGACTTACATTCCATTTCCTTGTACTCAAATGTCTATAGGAGATCGGATCCGAGAAGGAGCAAAGAAAACACAGTCAAAAGAAATGCGAAGTTGCCACAAGAACATGAAGACCCTACGATCCCCGGCACATCCCTCTCGTTTCATTTCACTCATCAAATCGCACTCGAATCTCGACTCCTACCTGTTAACTGCTTGACTTTAACTTTCCATGTTATCGTCGTCACCACTGGACCACCCCCTTTGGGTCACTCACAGGTAAGTAGTAGGTTTTGTCATTTCCTTGCGTCGCGTGGTCTGCTCATTCGCATGTATTATTACTAATTATGAATAAATGGTTATATTTGACACTGAACAACAAGGCTAAACTAAGTGTAAAGTCCGTGTTTCCTATCTGAATTTGACTATCAAATGAGCTGGGGAAACCGGTCAGAATGAACGGAAGGAGTCCGGTCCTACCATAGAGATTTGAACGTATTTTACGTCTCTCTATGGTACCCCTGCCCGGACCGTGTGATTGGAACGGGACAAGGAGTCGACTGGATTCCCCAACTCTGCACCTGGCTATTCCGTTCCATTTACACGGGCATCCCAGTCAGCCTAGCCGGTCGACAACCAGTCAATTCCAACGGTGGCCTTTCCTACAGTGTTAAGCTGGACAACTCTCATCGTTTGAAGGCCCAACCCATGCAATGGCATCTTCAACGAGAGTCATAAACCAGACATTGCGTTCTGAGCGATCCCAAAAACACTGGAGTATACCCATAATCAATCCAGATGAGCGGTAGACTAGACTAAACCATCGAAGTCGATACAGATCACAAGAATTTGCACGAAGTCGTAATTACATAATGAGTAGAGTCATTGACCGCCACGTCACCGCAAAAGTTCGAAACCTTGATAAGAGTAGCTACGTGAGTCGCGCTCAAGTCCAGTTAAGTCCGGAAGACAAAACATCCCTGGAATCGACCACTGTGCTTACAGTATCTGTGTAGTATATGAGATGCTTAAAGATTCAGGTGTCTCTTTGGCTCTTCGTTCTGTTTCTGCCAACTCTTACAATAAGTGGCAAGTAGCAAAGGGACCTTGAACTCCACCACGACCAGCCAGTCATGTCCAACTCTGAAACGCAGCTCTACACCATCGTCTGCATCCTCGATATCGAGCCAAAGAATGAATTCGGGATTAAAATAAACCCATCAGCATCACTAGACCAGTTGAGGACAGAAATCATAGAGGAAAGGTCGCGACTTCTGAATGGAATCAAGCCAGCCGACCTCACTTTACATCGAGTGGACATCCAAGGCGCGAAAAAGATCGAAGAGCTCAAAGGAACATTAATTGAATTGAAAGATAAAGAGCCCCTCCGTCCTATACTGTCGGTGATCGAAGTATACCCTTCACCTCCTCCGGTAGACACCGTCCACGTCGCTGTGCTACTTTCTTCACATAAATCATATCCTGAGGCCTTACTACCGATTCCATTTAGTCCGGAACAGAGCGATGGCATAAAGGGGCTCAAAAAATTTGAAAGCAACTTGCGACGCACATTTCAGGATTTTTTCAACTATGATGTTCAACTTCCTCTTTGGGCGCCGGATTCGGGCCCGAACTCAGTTCATATTGCTAACCTGAACATACCGGCCATATCTCATGACCCTTCGCTGCTACTCCACAACCTCGGCCGGCCATCTCACGACGTGAAACTAGTTGACCGCGTTAACAGTCTTTTTGATCCAAAACAGAAGTAATACCTTCCCTCATGTGAGCCCTGAAATAAGTCGCTTACTTTTTGTAGGACTAGATTCCTTTGTAATACGTCAGGGTCAGGCAAGACCCGTTTACTTCTTGAAGGCCTTTGGCGTAATGGGGGTTTCTACTTTACCGCCTGTACTCAACCCAACCAAATCGGCTCATCAGATCTGGAGGCTGTCCTGCTCGACTTGAAGCAGTTTCGGCGTCTCAAGACAATCACATCCGAGAATGAGGATACAGCGCTGACCGAGAATCGGGAGACGGCTGCCCGTCGTTTCCTACTGATCCTCTACGTTCGAATGTTTGTTTTCCGTGTATTCCTCGAGTGCGCGGCTGACACCCCAAGCGGGATCACGGAGGACCACAAAGCACGCTGGCTTCTCATTCAAGTCGCACCCAAGACACTTCTCAAAATGCCTGAAGTTTTTCTTAAAATGATTCATTTGGCAGGAAGAGCGTCTTACGACTATCTCCGGGCAGCCATCGCATCTGAGCATATAGACGTACACCATCTTCTGGCAGAACGAAAACCAGTTGACCTATTTTGCGTTCTCGATGAAGCGCAGGCTCTCACACACGAGTTCTTGGATTGCTTCCTATCCGACACGGAGCCACAGCATCCGCGGCCTATCCTCCATGAAATCATCATTGATTGGGAGATGGTATTCCCAAATCTGATCTTTTCTGGTACTGGAGTATCGATGCGGGACGTGGAGACTGACCTTAGTTGTGCAGTGGCTAAAGAGGGCCCCCCGTTAAGATCAACGATCACCGAAGTTGCTGGGTTCGACGACAAGGTTGATCAGCGAGCTTATCTCGAGCAGTACTTTCTGCCAGGACTTTGGGACACACCTGTGGGACAAGAGATTGCAGCTCGGATTGGATATTGGCTGCATGGCCGGTTCGTTTGTGCCACTTCTCTCTGATAGGTGTCTGCTAATCAAACTTATAGACATCACTTTACTGCAAATTATCTCTCGCGACTTATCCGGACCAGCTTCGAGTCCCCCCTTCAAGTGCTCAACGACTTTGTACATGGCATGACTGGGTTCTGGCCCTCGGATTGGGCAGATGGCCCTACGCTCGCCATTAAATTAGAGGAGCACCGTGGTTTCGGCTTCTCAAATCTACTAGAAAAGTCTAAGACTAGTGAGCATTTGATAGAGGTCTATAGCGTGACCCTAATCTGTTGCAGACTCAAACCTACTAGAGATCGTGGCATCCTTTGTGTTTGAATACACTTTCACCGGCAAGATACGTGGGCTGGATGGGCCTGACGGTGATGACATGATTGAATATGGCGTGCGAAGGTTCAAGAAACAGAAAAAGAGTAGCTGAAACGGACGAACCTCTCGCCATTCTCACCCTCGTCACCTTCTTGCACGAACAACATCTGAGATTGGAGGCATACTTGAAAATGTCTCTCATTGTGTCAAAACCAAGCGCCGAGGGCTTTGCATTTGAATCTTTTGGTACCTATCCTCCTCACCCGCGCCTTTTGTGCTTGTAGAGAAGCAAGCAAACCCCAGGATGAGGTTGCTCGACCGCTGGCGCTTGAAATCACTGACGATACCGTTCGAATCACCCCTTTAAACCTTCACCCGGCCCATCAGTCAATCCATGTTCTTGGTTGTTCCCTTCCACGATCACCGGCACATTAGAATGACTCCAGCCCAGGAGGATCTGCTTTCTGCTTGCCTCTGTTCGTGTTTCTATTGCTTTAGCCCTTCAACCGGTTCCTCCCACTTCGTTTCTAATCAACAAGAATATGGGTTTACTAACAAATCTTCCTCTCCTCTCTCTTACTAATTTAGAACTTATCCTTTCGTCGTCTATCGCATTATCACGACTTGGGAGTGCTGGAGAGAGTGTAGCAGAGTATGCCAAGGGTACATTCAATGGGGCATTACGTTTGAGGCTGTGTTCAGGATGTCGTCGAAGGGAAATAGATAACTTGGGAAAATATATGAAATTGTAATTGTATAGCGAGTGGAATGTTATCGTAGCTGCATCCTCGGTAAACATTTTCTCCATCACTAGTCAATGATTAGATCGGAGGTGGATGAATGAGGTTTCAAGACTAGCAGCGTGTAGTTCGCTGTGCCCTTTAATTCTAGTTCGGTTGAGTCCGGAGGTTGGAAGGAAAATTTCCTGTTTCTTGCCCTCGGGTGTGGCTAGGATATCTACGATATCTATCTAGTTCATGATATGTTTAGGAATATGAGTCCCTCGGTTATTCGTTCTGTTTCTGCCAACAGGTGTTGACTAGCCAAGCAATCTTGGACCCAACCGCATCCAGCCACTATGTCCAAGCCTGAGCCGCAGCTCTACACCATATCTTGCGTCGTCGATATTGCGCCAGACAATACAATCAAGGTTGATGTAGACCCATCAATTACACTCGTTGGGTTGAAAAAGGAAATCGTAAAGGAAATGGCGCCAACGTTGGATCATATCAAAGCAGGTCACCTCGCAATACATCAACTAAACTTTCCACGTCCAACCCATGCAATGGGATCTTCGACGAGAGCCATAAATCAGACGTTGTGTTCCGAGTGATTCCAAAACACTGGAATCAATCGAATATACCCACAATCAATTGAACTGCGCGGAAGTTCTACGATCAAGATATTCATATTGGTCATTGGCAGATCAACACGCTCAAATATTCACCAATTCGACCTTACCCTATCATTCGAACGCGTATTCGTGCTTATATCGCATCAACAAAACTAACCAATGTCGCGTGATCTCCTGCAACCATCTTTATCAATCCTCTGGTATAGGCAATGGTCCTTTGCACCTCAGCTCTTGAGCATTAAGAGTATCGACATCCACTCTCGCCTTTCTCATGTTCAGTATATTGACCCTTGTACCTGATTGGTGAGTGACTAGACTTCTGTCCGTCGATTGTGCACTGAGCCTCCGACTAGGCTTCTTGGCAACCACAAAAATCTCATAATTGAGAAAACGCTTGGATGGGCAAGTGCCAGTTTAGGAATGTTTAAAGGGCGACACTCGATGGAGCGCGCATTGTACACATGTTAGTTTCCATTCGTCTCTGCATACATTCTTGAATCTAAATATTACACAGTACATCGATACCTTGTTTTGTGCTAGTGTCATCAGACCTCAGCAAGATGACGGCTTCCCTTGATCGGAGATGCGCCATGCCAGTTGAAGGAAGAAATATTCTCGATAAATCCATAAAAGGATCTCATACGAATGTCTACTTTTCCAAATATCGTACAACAGAATTTTGACTGAAAATACTTGGCGAGGGCATATTCATCATGTAAGCTTATGGTTTGGAAGGGGTTCCACTACTAACTGGAGATGCCGTAGGTCGCTTGATACCCCATCCATTTAAAGTAGAGGCTCCGTGCATGATAATCCCGCTGGGTTTCCCACTCCAAGCCCTCGAAGACGGCACCATTCCCGAATGCAGCTACGAGTTGTCTGTGCGCATTTCGAACGTCGAGAGCTAGCTCTGCCCAGTCCATGATCTCACCAGCGTCGAGGACTCTCCAAAAGTCGACAACGGTCTTGGAGATACTGGCGAGAAGGGGAGAGGGGGCGTATGAGTAGGCGGATGAGTGGGAGGTAGCCAGTCCTGCGTTTGCCCTTAGTGCATCCTCGTGGAAGAACTTGAAGAGGACCCAAGCGTGGGAAGACTCGGGAGTTGTGATGAGGGTGTAGCAGAGGATGGAGAGAGCATCGTCGTCGGAGAGGGTGTTGGGTCGGTGGAGGCTGGCACAGGGGATATGATTGAGAAAAAATCGGTACGCTAGGGAAGGGTTGTTTCGAGGCTAAGAGGTGCGGTTAGCACTGATGCAGTTGTCATAGGTGACAGTCGATGAGAAAATTGAGAGGTGTAGGGGACATACCGTCAAGAGGGGGATCACGTCTCTGAGAGTTGGTGGTCTTTCTGCTGTGAATGGACTGGACATGGAGAAATACTTTGCGATGCTTGTATGCAGGCCAGCTCTGATAGCGCTTATAAAGGTTTCGTATCACATCTCCGATGTAACGTGCCCAGTCCCGGTGTAGCTCTGTTGTTACCCATCGGTCGGCATGAGGGCAGAGCCTTGATCACAAACTCTATTCTCTCAGCTATGAGGTCAAGGATCAGTAATCCCGCCTTTAGATGATGCTGTATGTGATACCGCTACACCACATGGTGGTTTGCTTTGCTGCTTCAGCTTTGGGTTCAGCAAGGACGCAGCAATCTATGCAGTGTAACTAATAGCCTGGCGTCCCTTGCCATCTCATCTGAGACCTCGATAGTCGTGTCAATAGATCAGGCCAGGTGAAAAGGTAAAGATTAACACATGTATGAATGCTAAGTTTCCTGAGAGGCTATAACCATAGCTCCCCTTCATGTCGAAGATTAGGCGTGTTGAAGTGCGGGTACTAGACTGGATAGGGGTACTATAGGCCATAGTATAAAACCACACTGTCACGCCTTGGGTTATCGCCTCTTAGGCCTTGGGTTCACGTCCGGTCCTGGGGCTCCTTCCATCCACTGCCATCAAGTGGTACAACCCACCAGAGCTGGAGCAAGACTAGGCAACCCACTGCTGAGTTATGGTCTTATCCATAATCACACAGTAGAGTGGCCAATGTAGAGATCTACATCACCTTTCCCTTCTACAAGTAGCCCTTGACTAGGAAATTTCCAGCCAGGAGACATACATGAGTCGGCGCCCCAACCGCGTACTGTTTGCCTGCAGCGGTCCGCCTCTCTGAAGGGAGGCCACTCCGCCTTGGTTGAGGGCTGTAAACAAAGGCCCTAAGAGGGATGTGTGCAACATGGGGAATTCAAGGATGCAGCAAGCGCTCTCAATAGGGGTACCACAGCGGAGTTGCGGTGTTTGAACACGAGTCTATCGAGATGATAAACATTACCGGAATGAGACGTGGTTCTGCGCCACCCCCTCGACGCCCGGACCTATGCCGACGTAGTCACTGTCAATTCGAGTCCATTTTGACGCGATTGTGTGCGCCTTTTGCTGGCTGAAGATGGAAGTGGGAGGTAATGCCTGCCATTCTGGGCGTGGATAGCATTTCCATATATGGTAATGGCCTTGTTTGTCACCGGCGTGGTCTTCCATGGCGACGCTCTGTTTTGGACAAGAATAGTACTATTTATGGACAAGTGCAACTCGGTATTAAAGGGGGTAGTGGGACACACTCTCAGACACCATTCCCCTCATCCACATCTTCACTTTCATTTCATCATTTTCACTACAGCAATAACTTATCATCTATAATCTTCACGAAACAATATTTACAATATGTCTACTATGCTGATGCATTCTGCTGCTAGCAGCCCTCGCGCCTCCGACTCGTCCGACCACTCGATCTACCTCTTGTGCTCCCTCCCAGGCAGCACACCTCGCGCATCTCAACCAACACCTCAACGTCTCATCCACGTCGCCGCCTCCCTCTCCATCCACCTCTCCAACGCAGACCTCCCCCACGCATTCCTCGGCCGCTTTTCCCTCTTTTTACGCGGGGCGAACGTGAATCCGAGGTGGGTCGATGCCGATGTCGTCAAGCCTATTATTGGCGGTACACAACGAATCAAAGATTGTTTGGCGTTGCACCCGGATTTGAAGGTGCACAGTGAGGTCGTCGAGGAGGGTGTCGATCGTTTGTTGGTCTCGCACAAGTGCGGCATCTACGTCCGTCTCTCGGTCGGGTGAGTACATCCTAAACATCTCTTTGAAATTTTACTTATATACTTGCAGTTCTATTCAATCGATCAAGAAAAAGACAAATCTCATTTCGGCACACCCAAACCCAAACCTCCCCGCCGTATTCTTGCCATGCCTCACCCCCGCCCGTCAATTCCTCGAAACTGTCATCATCGCATCCTCTGAAGACCCCAAATCAGAAGATCTACAAGACTTGATTTGGATGAAGGATAATTTGAGGATGGATATCATGTCCGACCCTACCACCCTCAAAAAGACGTGGGAGGAGGGACGCGTCGGCAAGTTGATCGATACGTGGCCCGTTTTGAAAGAGGTGTTTGTCGATTTGGGGCTGGTGATTGTTAACGAGGATTTCTCGTTGAGGTCCGCCGTGGCCACGAGTGCGTTGACGAGGACAAAGTCGAAATACGCGCCTTCCCTCCCTCGCTCCAGCACCTCCTCGCGTTAAACACCCTTCTTTTGGAGACGATTCACAGATGTGAACTACATTCTTTTTACCTTCCACTCTTTTTATTTATCCTCGACTCTGTGGTCGTCTCCACTTGACGTGCAAAAGGACCAGAGGTCCAGGAGTGCAAGCACTCGCAGCATCCATCATGACACATACCCTTTACGAACTCACGACTCACGACGTTACGCTCTAATTATCTCTTTTATCTATAGCATACCCTGCTCGTCCATTAGAATAGCCATCGCGGTAGAGATGTATACTACATGTTACCACATTAATCATTC